TTTTGCAGTTTCGCGTGGGCTGTAATTTAAAAACAGCGCCTAATATGAGGTCTTCCTCGCTTCGGCGATCGACCCACCGGGAATGTCCCGGTGCTCCCGATGGCCAGTAGCTACATTTCTGGGTATGTTCAAGTAAGCTAGATATGCCCAGATAATGCGCATTTAGGTTTATTTAATATATCATGATGAGTCTCGAGTTCAGTATTTACACTAAATCTGTGCAGATTTGGCTTACATGAACTTCCTCAAGAAATTAATTAGTAAACATAATTTACGAAAAGTAACCCGCCAAATTGGCTAGTGATTTGACAGCGTTACCCGCCACAGCTGATTTTTACCCGCATTTGGCGGGTTGGCGGGTGTTAATTTCAAACCCTGTATATATATATATATATTTCTTTTTGCATATTTTTCATATCCAATTTTCATTTTATTTCTAGTTGTTTTATTTTTATTTTTAAAAAATTTATTTTTATTTATTTCGTTTTAGTTGTTTTATTATTTTTTTTATTTATTTGTATAAAATAGTTTTAAACATTTAAACATTTACAAGAATCTGCAAAAAAAATGTCAGTGCTAAAAAGAAAAAGGTTTTTCTGTAAAAAAAAAATAAAAATCTAGAGGAAAAAAAGATTCAGGATTGAAGCTGTGTTGTTATTGCTTTGGCTCAGATTAATTAAATTAATCTTCTTGGTTGCCTCCAGGTGCTTCAAAAGTTATATCCCTCCTGAGTTGCATGTCTCTGCCCACAAACAAATCAAATTGATTTGATTATGAGGCAACAAAGCAGCACAATATGACCGATGATACTCTGCCACTTTTTTGGGGTTCAAAAGAGGATGGAGAACCAGAATCGCATCTTTAGAGGCCGATAAAATGAAGCCGATTTAACAAAGCTCGCTTAGTTTGGGATTGTCTCCACATTGGAGCGGGAACAGGCAGATCAGAAGCACATGGTGCCCGGAAACACAAGGTAGCACAGTTTTTCTCCCTGCATGTCGCTGAGAATCCAATTTTGGTTCGATTTGGAAATCATGGAAAAGCTCATAGGAAGTACAGAGAGAATAGAACAGAGAGAATGAATGTGTTATGGGAATACAGTCTGCCAGCCCCGGAATAATGTAAAATCCTAAAGACAGATAATTCACAGATTAGTCCGGATCAAGGCCGTGTGGAAGAGAAAAAAAACCATCGGCGCCCCAAAAGGACTAGTGTGAATCCTTTTCTCAGGTGGAAATCAGAAGGTTTGCCAATTGTGCAAGATATTACAATACCATATGAAGTCTTTTTCATCCTGGTTAAAGCAGATTAAATTAAACGTATCCGGAAATTAACTATTAAAGTTCTTGTAAACAGATAGATTATTTTTCTTCTTTGAAAAATATTTATATAAAATAATAATAAAAAATTTATTTTATTTTTATATAATAGTTTTTATAACTATTAATATTTAATATTATTACATATTTAATAACTTCTATTTATTACATATATAAATATATTTCTCTATTTTAATAACTATATTTTTCAAGTGAGCATTTCAAAACACAAAAATCTGCTTCCATTTTGTGGTTGAGACCCCTTTGAGAGCCCACTCAAATTCTTCTTAAACAAAGTTATCGACTTTTCACGCCCCCGTTTCCCACTTCAACTTTTCTTTCTCAAGCATACATATGCTTTTGTCTAGAATTCAATCTGTAAGGCACATGAGGGAATTTGCAGCCGACCTAAATTTAAACCCAAGTTCAATTTACTCTGGAAATATGACAGTACAGTAGGTGCACTAAAATGTGATGAGTCTTGCTAAGGGAGGCAGCAGATTTACGCACTCCTTGAGTACACTGTAAAAATTTAGGCAAGGACAGAAACTCCACAAATCACTGTCAATGTCGCTGCCACTCACTGTAATAAGTATGCTTTCATAGGCTTTTCAAATGGCAGGAGTCTGATGGCAATCAGTTCTGTTTGGAAGAGTACTCAAGGGGGCAATGAAGAGCTCGGGAACGTCTGCCACCTGCTGTGTGGAACAAAGTCGGATTACGAAAAATGGCTGTTGGCAGGCAGGAATGGGAATCGTGAGTATGCAGTGCACAATATATATTCAAATAAAAATAATCAAGTTTGAATTCTTTGATTAATTAAAAAACACGATTCAAATGACTCACTAATTCTCAAATCTACTGATCCCACCAATTAACTGATTGAATTAAATCAATGATTCTTGATTACATTGATTCACTGATTCATAATTGAATTGGTTCATTGATTCATTATTCGACACATGATTCAAATGACTCACTGATTGTCAAATGTACTGATTTGCCAATTAATAGATTAAATTAATTCAATGATGCATGCCTGAATTGATTCACTGATTCATGATTTTATTAATTCATTGACTCATTAATTGACACATGATTCAAATGACTCACTGATTCTCAAATGTACTGATTTCACCAATTAATTGATTGATTAACTTGACTAATTGATTCAATGATTATTTCAACATAAAGTAGTAACAGTTCTTGTTTAATTGCAAGTTGGACGTAACAAAATGAATGGCTTGTGGTTCAGTAAGTGAATCAAATAATTCAGCAAGCATTAGCTCAATTTGATCTGAACCAGCCCAAAAGACTCATTTGTTCAAGAATCAATTTATATTGCACTGTAAAAAAAAATAAATTAAATCTCATGTTTAATTCAATGTGCTACTTTGCCGTTTCTTAGAAATTGCTAAACAAAAAAAATTGACAAATAATAGAGTGAAAATAGTTTCTACACATTTTTTTCTATGTGCTCATACTGCATATTTAATGCTTAAGGTTATTCTACTACATATGTCCCAAATAATGAATACTCAATAAACAGAACTGAAAATCATCAAATTGAAAACATTTTTAGCATTTTAGCACTAGGCAGAAAATGTATTGATTTAAGATAAAAGCTCTGATTGGGGGATTTTAACTCTTGACATCTGGCAACCATGAAATCTTGTGGAGGCTTGTTATGAGTGCAAGATAACACAAATGCAAATTAAATGTTTTCAGGATAAATAGCCAGCCGGCAAATATTGCAGATGATTATACTTAATAAATCTAGACATAAAAAAAATAAAATAAACAGTCTTGGTGCCTATTTGGTACTCACAAGTTGTGGGCTTGCTGCAATTGTGCCCGTGCCGGAAATACTGCGGGTTTTCGATCACTGGGATACGAGTCATGCCGATTACCACAGCGTCTGGCCCGGCATCTAGGGTACACGGGGTTATGATGCCGTGATTGACGTGATGGAGGGGGCTGGCGGAGTCTTCTTCACCACTGATCACAGCCACGGGTCCTGCAGAGAGAAAAAGAGAGCCATCACACTAAATGACATTGGTTGCTTAATGGAAAATGAATGCAGCGTAATACATCTGAGAGGGAAAAGCGGGCAGGCTCATTTGTTAGAATAAACGTTATCTCTTAGAGCTGCGACTGGCCTCTGAGCTCTTCTCTGTCATTTGGTCACACATTAAACGCCTCGGCCTGATTCAACCCCAGAAGCCTCAGCTGCCGTGGCCCTGGGCCGTGGTAAGCACTGACTCCCCAAGTTTCCCAAAGTCCCATCATTTAGTTGCGTCAACAAAAAAACACCCACATTCAGTTTTGGGCCTCCAAGCCGGCAATAGATAAATGAAAGGCCTTGACAATAAAGATGGCCCGATGGCCAATGTGAGAGTGTTTCAGGACAGCTGACTGAACCAGCACTTTCCCAATACGGTCATTGCTGCATTTCTGGCATCAGTTTTATGGCATCATTATTCCATGTCTTCCATCACTATAATCACAAAATAAAATAAAATAAAATAAAAAATACATATAAAATGTATATTAATATGTATATAAATAAAAATATATAAATATTGTTGTATATTAAAAAATTACGTTGTTGTCTTAATATTTAATACTTTATCTATCTATCTATCTATCTATCTATCTAGCTGTCTGTTTGTCTGTCTATCTATTTATCTATCTATCTGTCTATCTCGGAAACAGCAGAGAAAGAAAAAAACAGCATTTTCAGATTTGTGCCTCAGGGCCACTGAAAATGTCACTAGAGCAAGTAAAGGTTTGACCTATTGGCCTGACTGGATGGTAGAAAAAAAGTCCTTTCTGTTAAGCCTTGAATGAGTGAGCTAACATTTGACTGTTTTGAATGTTCAACCACATAATATATGCTGAGAACATGGAGGAACAGTCATGCTGTCATTCAAGGTTTTTGATCCTGACAGTCAGTTTTACCTTGGAATTCTCTTAGGAAGATTCAGATTAAGATTAGTTCACAAGGTCAGACGTCTTGACACAAGGTCAACAAGTGGTGTGAACAGAACGTGGACAGACAGACCCAGTTATTCTTTTTTATTTATTAATTTTTTTTTAAAAAATTTTTAAAGAGAGGTCATAGTACTCAAAGAAAGCTTAACATTGTAGATACGCATAGCCGCTTCAGTGTGAGAGATACAAGGACTTTCATATGAAAAAAAAGCATATGAAAATATGGATTGGGAGTGTTTATTCCCTCAGGGATTACAAATATATGTGCATCTCTTTTGGCAGGTATCATGACAGGAAGACTGTGTGTAAATAAGTCATACTGAAGGATAAACAAGTAAACAAATAGGCTAATACATAAAAAAATTAGCTGAATATTTTGAAATATGTACCAACTGCATCACTAATTTGAATGATTCTTTCATTAGGAAGCATAAAAGTCGTCATCAAGGTTTCATTTGGAATTTAGTTGAACTGCCAAATGAAAAGGACTTTTATCAGATTTTGTACTGCTCTTTGTGAACTTCAATCTGAAATCCAAATGTAATGAGCAGCCGCAATCGCTTTCATGGCTATACATTGAGATTATTTTGAGACAATAACAGTGGTCTGCTGTGACATATTTAAGGGGAAATCTTGGGAAAAAGTCTTAATTAGCTTTAGCCTTTAAGACAGGAGGAGACGTTCAGCTAAGTGTCAAATGACCCCTGCAGCTAATTGGGTCATTAAAATACTTTTCTTTTCCTTAATTGGAAAGTCTAAAAGGACCATTAAAATAGCACCCTAATAATATTCATATGATCATAATTTATATTATATATTGACTAATAAAATTAACTCAAAAACTCAATTTAACTTTAAGTTGAAGGTGCATATATAATATTATTATACATTGTCTAAAATATAAATTTTAAGTTTAAGTCATCCAAACATTTCTTAATTTTATCCACAAAATTAAAAGTTGTTTAATTAGCTCAGTTTTGTTTAAAGTTGCATTAATAATGTTAAGTTTTAAGCTTGAGAGTAACAGAACTCCTTAAAATTTCTCCTTAATATCTTCAGGTTATACTTAGAGATGCGCAAGGTCAGACGCCGCTGTTAATGCGCTTCAAAATAAATACATAAAGCATATCAAATGGCACTTTCAAAATCCTATTATACAGCTGGCACGGTGAATTGAAGATCGCATTCACTCGCTGTTGCCTTTTGGCATTTTGAATTAGGAACTCTATCAATAAAATGCAGGAAACAATTTGTTTAAGCATCCGAAACAGAAAATGGGTAGCGAGCCATCCCTTTCCTACAGGACTTCCTCCTCTTGTCATCTTCTCTTTGGACCAAGACAACTGTGTTTGGTCCAGAAGTTTCCATTTATATTGAAGGACCTTCCCTGCCTGACCAATAAACAAAAAACAAAAACAAACAAATAAACAAACAAATAAATAAATAAAATCTGGATTATCACAACTGTATTCCAAATAATATGTTGAAATAAATAAATAAAATGCACAAGTAAATCTTAATCATTAGCACAACTGTATTCCAAATAATACATTTAAGAAACAATAAAAATAGCATAAATATATGAATAAAATAAACACAGGTATTGTCAGAATGCTTTAAGTGTACTTTTGAGTTCTCCGCTGGGACTGAGCACTACATAAAACACCTTAAAAAGCACATTTCAGTGATGAATTATGTTTTTCTTCCACCTTCCTGAACAATGAAAGCCTCAAGGCCAATGTTATTTATTGCCTACACAGAAATATTATTTCATCTTTTCTTCTACCTCTGCATCTGAAGAACAAAGTCTGTTTAATAAGATTGTGAGATGGGCGGAAGAGAACCAGCAAAATCTCCACAAAGACAGTTGCTACGTGCCAGAATTCAGACTGTCAACAATATATTTGCAAATAATGACAGCGGTTTTCAAAAAAATAATGCTACAATTCAGTGCAATGCTCAAACCTACTGAATGAACTTAGAAGAAAGTCCCCATTTCCATTCATAATATATGGAAAAGAGCAGCCTGAACATTCTGCTAAACATTTCTTTTTGTGTTTAACTTTAAAAAAAAAATACAGGTTTGGAACGAGTAAATGGAATGAGTAAATAGTGACAGACTTTTCATTTATGGGTTTTAACTACTCCTGTAAAACACTTTAAATCACTGCAAATACCTGCAGCCATGTGTAAAAACATTAAAGGGGTGGTTCACTGTTTTTTTTTCTAGGCTTGATTGTGTTTATGGGGTGCAGTCTAATGTGTTAATGGCTTTATTCCACACCGCTCTGTCCCTTCTCTGAGAAGCACGCTGATCATTTCCTTATTTTATGAAGCCCCTCCCTCAGAAATATTGTTTAAACACAGATGATGTGCTTCTCCTTTCTGGGCTGATTTTCATACAGCTTACAGGAAGTTCTCATACCATTGTTAATTAGCACTGAAAATAGCTACGGTAATCCTGCATGAAGACATGCATTACACATGCAGACTCACACAGAAATTATCACCTTGCTGCATGTAGCGCAGCAGTGTCACACAATTTGTGCAATGTGTGTGAGAGTGTTGCTTGATACATGTGTGTAAGCCAGAACTACAGTGGGATTTGACTCACTTTCTGTCATTGCACTGATCTTTCCTTTTACGCTTAAGTTTCAGATGAAATAAGATAAGTATTTCAGATAAACAAATATACAACCAAAAAAAAAATCCTAGAATTATATATATACACACACACACATATTTATATATATATATATATTAAGGGTTGAACGACTTCTGATTTTTTTAAGTCCACTTTTATGTCATTGAAGACTAGTCGCTGATGACAACATTAATGAACACGTATACTTTGGCCTTAAGCCTGAACCTGGAGCTGAGACTCAAACACCTTGTGCACAGCTATGGCATATGACACAGCGCTGCCCACATGGCTATTGCTCCTATAACAG